AAATTGGCCTGCCATAATTTCTTTATTCTAAAAGTAACCACTCTGGTTCTCAGTAAATGCCTCCCAATAATGAGAAAAACCATGTCTACCATTATCGAACAGTTTGCAAGATATTGATAAAGTTTATGTTTGTTCAAAGGGGGATATGCAAATTATTTGTAGCGTGTCAAATGTCCTTTGCCAGTTGCATCGTTGATCCTACTGTGTAGCGCACAGATGTTGGTGTCTTATTTTGCAATTTTTTCGTGTGCACATAATTATTAAATCAAATCAATGTAGAGGTGCTGGAGAGATGGTTCAGTGGTTTAGAGCATCTATTGATCCTGGGGACCTGGGGTTCATTTGTCAGCACCCACTTGGCATATCACAACTGTTTATACTTCCAGTTCTTGGGATCCACACACTCTCATGGCCTCTGTCATCACTGCATGTCCACAGCACACGTAAAACTCACTCAAGATCACAAGCATTCAATCAATATTAAATAAGTAAACCATTTTTTAAAAAAAAATAAATGTTATCAACTCATCATTTAAGTATAGCTTGGGAGAAAATCAGTAAGCAATTGAAGTGTACTGTAAAGTTAACTCCAGCCAATTGTTTTGTTCTGTTGTAACATTCATTTACTTGACATGGCCACTAGTAGGTTCAAATAATCATTTTTAACATAAGAAATTATGAATGGTTTTGATCCCAGTATTAATGTGAATGAGTTTTTTTTGTTTTATTTTTGTATTTTAAATTTTGTCTTTAACCAGAATTTACAGCTTTACCCTTTGAAGTATATATAATTTTACATGAGTGGCTCACATAACATATTCGCTGTTATACAAACTTCTTTGTAATATAAAAGAGCTTTCATTCATTGTGCTTTATTTGTGAATAGGAAATTGATGCTCTCCATCTGTTTTATAAGCAGAGAGAAAATATTTTCTGTCCAATCAATTTTTTTTGTCAACTGCTCTTCTTGTCTTTTATTTAGTGGCACAAAATTTCTTTCCTTATCCACTTATAGGAGCTTTTGCTTGAAAATTTAAATCATCCTAGATCCACAATTTGTAGTCCTGTTTTACTTAGTTTCTTGAGAATCTCTTCCCTTGAGGTATGATCATCTGCTTCCACAGCAGAGAGGTTTTCTCTCTCACTCACAATGATATATTTCATACGTATTGATCACCAAAGGATCCTGAAAGCAATTTCACTTAAATCATCTTTGGATCTGGGAAGCTTCTGTTATGATATTTAAATCTTTAAAAGAACAAATAGAAATATGCTGTTAAAAATTATCAACAGTTTCTATATTACAACCAGAAAGTGCTAGACTATTTTTAACTTGGATAATCATCATCTTGTTAGAACTGTGTACAGTTACTTATAGAGTCTCAGGTGCTAATGCTGTTGGTAATGCAGATGTACCTCTGTTGAACCATACTTCACATTTCTAGCACATTTGGATTTCAATTTCTGAATTCTTTCCTAGGCTTGTAAGCACTTTTAAACTGTGTTTCTCTATTTATTGATTAAGGAAGAACATAGGCTTTTATGTCACCTGGTGTAATGATGACCCTGTGACAACATCCTAAACATTTATGTTGAAAGTCTTGTTTGGGGAAATTTTTCTTTTTAAAATACTTATTCCATTTTCATGAATTTCATACATATATTTTGATCATATTTAGATCCCTGCCTTATCTGCACCCCAACTACCCCTGCCCAATTTCATGTACATATATATATGCCTGTAGAGTCAAATTTGTGTCTCCAAATGTCCATCAGTGTGGGTTTTTTTCACCAGGGCCAAGTCAGTCTACAAGAGTCACATCCTTAAACTTGACTGACTCTCCCAGTCCCAGCTGCCTTTGGTTGCTAACACTTCCTCAAGTGGTGCTGGGATTTCTTATGCATTTCATTTGGATAATTATTATTACACTTCACATACTCACAGAAAAGAAACCTCAAATTTAGTTTCCTTAATAACATATTAATACCCAGGTGGTTTTCATTGCTAAATCCTTTGAAAATGTGTTTCAAGGAATTATTATTTTAAGTTTCATTGACTGTTCTGCATATTCATTTGCATGTCATTAATTATTTAAATATAATATGATTGGGAATGTTTAGTATGGTTATATTATGAGAATCAAGAAAAATCAATTACCCTGAGAAAAAAGAATAATTTTTTTGTTACATGGGCTATGATATTAGTATATGTAATATCATCTCATTTATCCCAAATAGATCATGGCTAGACACTGATCAATGTCATAAACACATATTCATTTACATATAGAATACATTATCACTGTTTTGTAGATGTCAACCTAGGTACAAAGAAAATAACAAAGTTAACTCTTAATTTATTCAGGTTATCTTAGAACAAATGGAAGAAAGATCAGTATAAACATGATTCATAAACAAAACTGTGTAAATATTTATTTAAACATTTTTCTACTTATTTTATTAAATTTATTAACAAGTAGGCCTGGCATAGTGGTCCATGCCTTTAAGTACAGCACTCCAAAGGCAGAGGCAGGAGGCTCTCTACATGTTTCAAGCCAGCATGGTCTAAATAGCAAGTTCCAGCACAACAATGGATTCATAGTGAGAGCCTGTCTCAAAAATCAAAATAAATACAAATAAAAAGTAATAAAATTTTTAAATATTAAAGAAAATACATACCGACTCATCAGGCCTAATATTTAAAAGTTTTTATTGTAAAGAGAGTTGGATAAGATGTTTTTATTATTGTTAGGATCATTATTGTGTTTCTTATTGAAACACTTTTTATTAGAGAATAACAATTCACTTATGGCCTTCCTAAGCACAATTCCAGATGTATTTATGAGTTTGTAAACTTCTTCCATGGAAAGGGACAATTTCACTTTATAAGGAAATTATTTCACATTTTCTTAGTTACATTTATTGAAATGTTTTTCATTTATAAATGTAACACACATATGCCAATGTTCTATATTAGTAGATGTTAATAAGTCATGGCAGTTGTATTCTTAATAACAAAGTTAAATACATTTTTCATTGCATTTAATCATTGAAGAAAAATGAAAAGTTAAACTACAAGTGCAAAGAATCATCTTCATATCAAGAACCTGACACTCAAAAAAGGACTTGTTTTGAGGGCCAAACAGCAGGTGTTCTAAGAGACCATATCATCTCTGTTACACTCTACAGTTCATTAGCAGCACCTTTCACTTGCCACACACAAGTGAAAGGTGAACCTGTATTTCAGCAAACCAGTATTTATCAATGAGAATGGTGGACTGGAACGGGCCAGTGGGCCAGAGGTTCTCCACCTCTAATCTGAGTTCTCAGATGAGGCAGATGCAATACGACGTGATTTTCACAAGATTTTAGTAGTTTTGTCACTGTTATTATTTCGAGGCTCATATGAGTGGTGATCAAGAACATGGATGATGAATTTGTATCTTGTTTCTGCCATGACCTTAGTATTTGTTTTTAGATAACTTAGACAGCTAAAATCTTAATTCCCTCATTATTATAATAGGATGACACTATCACAGAACATTATTTTGGACATATATTTATATATATAAAGTCTACCAAAAGTGTAAATTACTTTAACTTTTATACAGTATAACTGTTAGTTTTAATATATCGATAACAAAAGTAATCATGTTACATAATCTTTAAAATACAGAACCACAAATACTTAAATTTAAAAGAGATATTATAACATAAATTTGCTTATTAGACAAATATTTAGACCTCAGCAATACTCAGAATGAATACATTATGAAAGAGAGAGAGAGAAAGAGAGAAAGAAATAGAGGAGCAGGAGGGACAGGAGGAGGAAGGAAGAGAGGGAAGGGGAGAGAGGGATGGAGGGATGGAGGGACAGAGGGAGGGAGGGTGGGATGGAGGGGGGATGGAGAGAGGGAGAAAGACAAGAAAACTATAAGAATGTAAACTTATGAAGCATTGTGTATTTAAGTTTACAAAGATCCATTGGTTTTATATTTGGAAATGATCACCTATCTTCATAAGCATTTGGAAATATATCGAATATTGCATTTATTTTCCTTTCTAAATGTGATATAAAATGGAGTAGATATTTCCATTAAGTTTCAAAATAGAAGGATTCTAATCATAAGTCTAGATCTATTGGTATATAATATCATTACTGAATCCCATAACAATTCTCCAGACATCACTGTAAAAGCTATTCATAAAAATAAATGTAAGTGAATGCATTGAAACTGCTTTACTGCCATCAGTTTACATAATTTCTATTAATAAAATGCATTTTATTGAATAATTTACTTTGTATTTTCTGGGATTTTTCTATGAGCATTTGGAAAATTAAAAAAGAATCTTGAATGTTGCAATCACCCCAGAAAAACATGCATTGTATATAGATTATTTTTATATAGTTACAGTCTGAAAGTATATATTTGGGAGCTTATTTTTTAACTCTGAAATGTGATTTTCAGAAATTTTCCAAAGGTGATTGGAAAATTCACATAGCATAACATTTTCAATATTCTATGATAAGTAATTCCATTGGCATAGCAATCAGTGGCCCTAAGGGGTAAAATGTTATTTTCTCTTTAAAGTTAAAGCTAGTTGTAAAACCTGTTTCTAAAAGAAATAATAACTTCTAAAGGTAAACTTTAAGGGAATGTGTAAGAAAACAGATACTTAATTGGATTTACATCTTTATTTTTTGTATTAATTGCACACAATTAGGTGAAATTAATTAGCTACATTAGATCTTTATTTTTCCTACTGAGTAATAATTTTAAGAAAAGTTATAAAATAACTACTTAGTACAACTCTGTATTTATGTAAATTAAAAATATTTTTAAGTTCAAGGGCATAGTGGAAAAATATTGATTTTATGCATAAGAATGTATGCTTTGGGAAAGCAAAGCACACAGCTAAGTAAAACCCGCCTTGTCTTTATGTTGTCCAGAGGGAGTGGGACCTCTTCCTTATCTTGGGCTCTCTTGTTTGCTTTTCAGTTGCTGCGAATGTGGCTGTGGAAGGGCTTCTTCCCTGTGCGCTGTTGCCCATCCAAGCCTAATATGGTTAGTGTTCCCTCCCCCTTTACTCTGTGATGTCCACTTCTGTGTACTCCCTTCAGCATTTCTTTTTTTTTTTTTTCCATCTCTGTACATCTTACCAGTTACTGCACCACTTACAGCATAACTATGAGACGAGACGAGGAACTTCATTCCCAAAGAGGAATACTCACTCTTATGTGATTTTTCAACAGGCTATTTCAAATAAAATATTATTCATAAAACACAATGGACCTGCGTCAAGCATTCATGTTTTCCCCCAAGGTTCTCCCATAGTTCTCATTTGGAATAGGAATTCTAAGATTACAGCGTCTGTCACATTTTACATGTCACTGTTTATGTTGTTCCATTCGAAAGAATCCATATAACATGTGGAAGTAGTACACTACTTCTGTTCAGGTGAAATCGCATTTTCCATCTCCCAGTACCATGGAATGTCCATAATGTAACTGCAATCTTCTATCTCCATAATTATTGTGAATACATATGACACTGATAAACAAAACCACAAGTAATTTTATATGGTCAGATATTATGAAGTTTGAATTGTTTCTGAAATTTGAAGTGATATTCTTATTTTGAAATAAGTGTGCATTTAAAAATAAATGTCTAAATAGAATAATAATTTTTTACATAAAATAAGAAATTTAAATATATATTTGGTTTATAACATTTTCAGCTAGGGAATAGAACTAGTGAACTCAAGTGATGCATTTAAAGGGACTCTTACATCTCAATGAGCTACCTTGTAGAATACTCTAGACAATTTTTTAATAGATTAGAGTCTAAATTCAAGAACCAATGTGTTGTTTTCATTTATAGTAGAACATTGTCAAGAAAAGAAAGTATAAAATGCATCTTATGGGATTCCAGGGTTTTATGGTGGCATTTTACATTGTTACATTTATTATCTGGAAGTAATTTGATCTTGGCTAATTAATCTCTTTTTCTTTCTCTCTCTCTCTCTCTCTGTTTTTGTGAGTGTGCATGTGTGTGTTTATGTGTGTGTGTGTGTTTGTGTATAGAAACTCAAAATAGTACATGTGAGAGAGGCTGGAATGGTGGCCAGGGATCTGAGACACAAAGTGTAAAGAGGCATAGACTTCTTTCTCAAAGTATTTGAACGCTTAGTATTTAGAAAAAGTTTTTAATTTGAACATGTAAATTCAGATCTCTTCCCAGTGTTGAACCTACACGGGATATTCTTCTGAGCATGAGTCTTCAGTGACAAACCACATAAAACCTGGCATCTCACAAATGATAAGTAGAAGTTAATTCAATTTAATGTACTTTTCCATATAAATTACCATGAGGCAAAATAGAAAAAAAAATATGATTGGCATCATTGTTAACCTTGAAGTAAATTTCAAATATACTTAAATTGACTTAAATTAGACTATGAACACTTAAGAGTCTATTGTTTAGAAAAGATTGGCAAAGATAATGTAACTACATTGACATACTTAACTAAAAACATAAATCACAGAGTGAGGACATGACTCAGTGGGTAAAGCACATGCTCTACAAGAGTAAGATTCTGAATACAGATCCCCAGATCCAAATAAAGGGAGATGTGATAGTGCATATCCACCATCTCAGCGTTCCTGGGAAATATGGTAGGTAGAGACAAGAGAATCCGCATTAGCTCCTGGGCTAGCTCGTCTGGTGTACACAGCAGCAAACAAAACAAAACCCTCCTTCAAAGAAGACAGAAGGAGGATCTTCACTTAAGGTTGTCCTGTGAAAACCACATGCAGGGAACAGCGTGTACACAAACTGATCACACATACCTATGCAAGATTTTTAAAAAATCAATTTTTTTTATGTTTTGTATTTGGAAAGAAGGAAAGTGAGAGGCAATTTTCTATGAACTGTGAAACCAAAGATTAATAAACACTTCCTAGTATCTTTCACCAAGAAACATAGGGAAGGGATCTAAATATAATTAAGATGTATTACATGAACCAAATATACAAAAATTCAATAAAATATTAATTAAAAAAGAAATACTCAGAATTTAAGGAGAAAAATCAATGTGCTTTTGTGCCTATCTGTTTTTGTCTGTGTGCTTAGGAAAATTATATTTAGTTGAAAATTCTCTTAGGTCCTTCGAAAATAACTAAGGTCCCTAAAATCTTGTCATTCAATTACCATGTGAATAGTTTCCAAGGAACCATATCCTCATCGTCATTTATGAACAGACATATTTGCAATTAATTATAGAGGACAGATTTGTAGACAATTTGGGTTCCAGAATCTCAGTGTTTTTCCTATATTTAAAATATGTGTTGTTGATTTCAATCTTAACATAATGGGATTTGTATATATTAAAATTGCCAATTGCTTCAATTGGAGAGATGGCTCAGTGGTTATGAACACTGGCTGTTCTTACAGAAGACCTGGGTTCATATCCCAACACCCAAATGGTGCTTAATAATTGTCTGTGACACCACGTCCAAGGTACTTAATGCCCTTGTCTGGCTTCTCCTGGCACTGCATGACACGGATGCACTTACATACAAGCATGACACACATAAATTAAAAATAGATTTTTAAAAAGTTTTAAAAATTGTCCATTAAAAATTCACCAACTCTTAGAAACACTTTAAAATGCATTGTAGAGACATAGGGGGATACTTGGAGTTTTTAAAAAATATATTTGTGGAAATAAAGATGTCACTAATATTGATCTAAATTCTTGATTCTGTAGTTCTGCTATATTAAACTTTCACAGGGCTACGAAACTTAAACTGTTCCTTTGGTATATTTCTCATCAGAAAAACACAGTCTACTATTTTTCATCACTTGCAATATGAAATTTGCAAGTTTGTGTTGTTATTTTTTACACTTGACCTCGAATTATTGTTTTCATTATATTAGCTATTCGGCTGTAAAATCTAAAACATAATGTTAATATTCCAAGCACTTTTCCTTCTTTGAGCAAAATCTACTGAATGACAGAAACTACTTCTATAAGTATGGCAAATGGAACCCAGATGTCTGCTTAAAACACCCCAAAACAGCCTGCCCACACTTTCCTCAGAAATACCTTTTATTGTTAGCCTATTTATTTATGTCATCACAATTGACTTAGACTAATCATTGCCTCACTTCTCCAATAAATCATTAAGTTGTACAAAAAGCAATGCTGAATTGTTAACGAAAATAAGATATTAATGGTTATTATTCATAAGACAATGTTACGATTTATCCCAAAATAAGCGCTTGTGTCTATAATTATGTAAACCAACACATATTTGTACATATTTACTAATTTCAGGTGAAATATTTCATCATCCCAAAGTAGGTATTTCCTTCATATCTTGAATTCAAACCATGTATAATTATTTCCATCATTCAGTATTTTCACACTTCTCATTAATTCCTATCATCTACAATTTCTTTATAGGGGTACATTGACAAAGAAAAAAGAGTTCAGTAATTATATTTAAACATTTGTTTGTTTGTTTGTTTGTTTTGTCTTTCTGAGACAGGGTCTTCCTGTAGCCCCAGCTGTCCTGGAACTCACTATGTAGACCAGGCTGGCCTTGAGCTCACAGAGATCCATCTGCCTCTGCCCCCAGAGTGCTGATATAAAGGCATGCAACACCACACCCACCTGAAATTTTGTTTTTTATTTGTATTATAATTTATTTCTTATTTTGTTTTTCATTTACCTTTTGTGCAAACTAAAACCTCCAAATTTTAAAGAAATTGTATTTTATTTTTAAAATACTTAAATAATTGATATAAACTATGAATTTTACCTCAAATCGTAGTACAAATCCTTAATTAATTAATAATGTGACAGTTTAAACAAAAACATTTTTTGGCTGAATGGATCTTGAATTCTTTGAAGCATCATCTTATTTGTTTTTCACTATACTACATTTAGCTCTTTGTATTAGTTATGTTTCTTGAAATAGTTATATAAATCTTATTGAAAAAGGGAAAATAATCCTTATATGTCATACCTTATAAAACATACTGTTATAATAAAGTTCTGGATTAAACTCTTACTCAGCAGTGAGAATAGTCTATAATTCATCTTTTAATGATATTAAGTATGAGAGTTTTCAGTTTTACATTATTGGTAATCATATATGAATTTCAAGACTTCATTAACATTGGAATTGCACATTCTTATGTACTACAAAGTTTTAGAAATGTCTTTTTTTGTTGACACAATCACTATACTATATCCATATTTAGGTGGAGTGTGTTTTTCTATGTGGAAATATTTATTCTGAGAAGTAAAATTGAATAATTTCAGTAAGTAATTACAGATGACTTGAATTTGTAGTTTATTTGGATCTATCCACAGAGATCTTGAAATCTGTTTCCTGCTATGTAAGTGAGGAAAAGGTGAAGGAGAGTCATAATGTCCTGCTAGTTAAACAACTGAAATATCCAATAATCCATTTTACTTACATTTACCCGGAACCTTATTGAACAATTCTGTTTATTAAACAAAGTTGTTTCTCTCCAGTATTTATTAGATATACTGAAAATTTAATTTCATATGTTTGAATTAAAAATAAATCTGTTAAACTGGAAAATGTTATTTTTGCACCACCACTCCACTCTTTGGAAGGGTCTCACTCTGTAATGCAGGCGGACATAAAACTCTCATGAACCGGGGTGACTTGGCTCATTGAGATCCTCCTACCTCGCCCTACTAAGGGTTGAGACTAAAAACAAAAGCCACTAAACCCAGATTCATTCTGAAATTGCCTAAGTAAAATCATTTACCTAAAAGATGTCCCTTGCTTTTAAAGACTCTAGCTATAAAATTTTCCAAATACAAAATTATGAAGTGATTAAGATCATGTTTATGACAAAAGAAGTGATAGTGCAGGTGCAAAGAAATGTGGCATAAAATGTGTGTGATTGGTAGTTTATATGAACAAGACGTATATCTTAATGCTTCAGTAATCTGGTGGGTCTTCAGTAGTGTTGTTTTAATGTCTGGAACAATCATGTTGTTATTAACCTTCAAAATAGAAAAATAATATGGATGTCTTTTCATTGACAATCATAAGCACATTCTCAATCCTTTAAAGGGATCAGAATTCAAAATTATTTCTCTTTCCACTGTTGTATTCTATGCAGTTTTATTTAACACAGAAAAAAAACAATAATTAATAATTATTACTATAGTGTATGACTGTTCGAGCCAGTATTTACTCTCTTTTTGACTACTCCATTTACACACCATTTTATTGGTCACAAGAGTATAATTTAGTGAATTATTGATTTTGTGTATTGCTTGGTACTCTGGAGTGTCTTCGTTTCATATCCCAAATTTATTATCAAGTCATAAATTTGTACCCAGGTGTAAATTATTCATTGACACCTCTATCCACAGATAGACAATTGTTTACTTTTTATAGATTATGGAAATTGCCAGTGTCCAAATATGCAGCTAGTGGCTGTAACTGATTTTTAAGATCAGTATTAATATTATCAAGGAAATTTACTCAGATCAGATTAAGTGAAGAAGAGAATAGATTGATTTCTAAATTCCCTTAGGAATGTTGCTAAATTTATATATCAAGTACTTCTTTAAAAGTTTTAATGAATAGTAATGAATGATTATGATTACATATGCTTTCCCTTGCCTATCTCTATTACAGAAAATAACAAAACACATTATTTTATTTAAAAAGCATGAGAATACATATCAGGTGGTTCCTGTGGATACAAATACTACCTATTTTTAACACAATAATTTCAAATTTCATTTAAATCCTTATGTGAAAGAAAATGAAGAAAATGGGACTTTTCTATATAGCAGGATCATAACATCTTTCCTGTTTTTGATCAGTAATGACACAAAATTGTTCAATATAGACTTCTTACTTTGTGAAACAATATACTAAATCTTTCTATCAAAAATATTTTCAGAAAATAGGAGGTATAGTTTATGTTCAAAATGGAGTGTTCATCGACTGCTTGAATGGTTAAAATTATGCACTTAGAGAAGGTAGGCAGAATGATTCTGCCTGAACAGACTTCCTTACAAACCTTTGGTAAGGAGGCCAAATCACTTCCAGTGTACTGGCCTTTGCCAGCTACACTTTCACTTTCTGTATCTTGTGTCTTTTTTAAATGACGCTTTAGGGGGTTGCAGAAATTAATTTTGTATGTTAATGTGACATGCAGCTGTATAAGCTGCACAGCTCCAGAGATACCCATAATCTAAAATAACTTCTTAGTACTGCACCCAGACTCACCTCCAGATAATAAAATCATAGCCACTTCTCACCAAGATAGTCCCAAATCATCTGTTAAAATGATATCCAATTTTATTTACAGTTTCATAAGAAAGATTTCCATGTAATTTCAATATTTATAAAGCTTATCTAATGGTAAAGGCTATTGAAAAATACAATTTTGAAAGCTTATTATTAATTTAGTTTTCAAGTATAAGCCTGGAGAATGAAATGGATGTTTTCTGATGTAAAATAAAGGATGAATATGCATTTAGGTTTCTTCAGAATCCCTGTAAGAATGTTTTTGCCAGTATTACGGGAGTAACATAAATTTCAGGATAAGTTCACATAATCGTATTTAAAGCATTGTTGAAAAAATATCAATAAATGTTATCTCTAGAGGCACATACATTAAAGATAGAAATAATAATGTTTTACATGCAAAAATTATAAGCAAAATATTAAAATAATAAGGATGCACTAGAGTAGACAAAATTCACTTTCAGTAAAATTTTATGTAATTTTTTCTTTATTCCCTCCAATTCATTATAGTGAGATGTGTCATCATGACTAAGGTCTCTCAAGTGACAAATGCATTCAAATGTGGAAGTAAGATTTAAAAATACACTAAATCCCTCTTGTATATTTTCCTCACCCAAGAACAATGTGTCTGTTAAGTATATTATTTCATGCCTACTGAAAATGACAGTTTTATTTTATTATTTAATAGTTAGTGCCTTAATATAATACTAAATAGCTTCACTTTTTTGACAAAATGTCAAAGGATGACTTATATTGCCCAAGTTTTGTAAGTCATATTTGAATATACACTGGAAACTATAAAACAAAATATATTTCATTTTTCATATTAAAATACATGAATATATTTTAAATATTCCCAAACACAAAACCAAAGAACAGTTTTGGTAATGGTCTGTTTAACTTTATATTAATATCACAGTACTTTTCAATCAAATTTGCAGTGAAAATACTTAACAATTCTGGTTGCATTTTTTAATCTAGTAATAAATGAAACCTTTTACTTGGTGAATTAAATTTATGATGAATTGTATGAATAGTAAAATCACTTCCTTTGCATTTCACTGAAAATAATTTAAATATTTTCATTTTTCTCTTTGTTTAATGTTATATGGTTAATCATGTACCACATCAACTCAGTATTCATCAATGTAGTCATCTTCCAAATACCTGTCATTGTGTAGATGCAATCAAAACATCATTCACTCATTCATTTATTCATTCATCAATGTAAAACTATGTTGAATACCAACTCCAAATCTGAATCTAGCCACTGCTGAAATCTATAAAAGAATAGTAATTGCTGACATTTAAGTAGCTGAAAAGTAACGAAATAGCCAAAGAAAACTCATTTTAAAATGAGTGTATTGCACAGGGAAGATCACATAATGAGTGGGAGGAATAAAAGCTGCGTGTGCAAGAGAAAGTTTCCTAGAGTTGGGGTATGAAGGAAAATGAATAAATCAAAAATTGAAAAGAACAGTGATAATTGAACATTGTTAGGAAAGAGCATCCATGAAATATAAACCATTAGGTGTAAATGTATTAAAGAAAGCATATAGAACTATCTTAGATATTTTGGAAAACATACAGCAAACCTAAAATTAAACTGTACAAATGATACACAATACATTATGAATGTTATTCTTTTACTGAAGACTACATAGGAACTAATTCAATAAAATAATATATGTAATAGTTTGACTTTAGAAATTTAGACTATGCTTAAGGAAAGGAATTATAGAATATACAGAAGGGCATTGTTCTGAAGTCACAGTCATTCTAGTGATAAATAGAAGGCCATAATGGTGAAGTACTAGAGATGCTAAAGATCTGGAATAAGATTCATATGGTATAGAACTTGGGTTTTGATAACTGGATCATAATGGGGGACATAAGATTAACACATGGACCTTAAGGTACAGGTCCTGATGATGTTGATCACAAGAAATGAAGAAAGCAAAACATAATTGAAAAGTAAAAAATGATACAGTGATTTCTTTTTCAGGTCCATTGAATTTCAGTGGTATTAGAATATCAGAAATTAGAATAAAACTTTCAAAGAGAATTAACCTCCAGAGCTGAAGGGGTTAAGAAATTGATGGAACTGAACAGAAAGAATCAGAGTTCTTCACTCATGACCTTTGAAAATATCCATACACATATGTAGCAAGGGAAGAAACACTGGAAAAAGAGCTGTGGGTTTTAATCAATAGATGTGATGGAAACGATGTAGTTATCAGATTAGAAGATGTCATTTATGTACTTGAGAAAACAGGAGAGACTAAAATGTGGAGAACGGATGTTCAAAGAGTGGCAGAATTCTGGTGAATTCCATAGTGATTTGGATCTAAAATTCCATAGTGATTTGGATTTTGGGGAGCAAAATCTTCAGGTGATATTGAAGGGGAGAATACTGACCCAGAGGAAATGTTGGCCATTCATCCTAAACTGGCAGTGGCTTCAAATCATAAATAAATGAAAGAGGGAGCAGAGATAATATGGTGTGTGATAAATGGGGAAAATAACTGAAAATTAAGCTTAAATAGCTTGAGACTATTCTAGTGGAATCTAAGCAAGATCATTTATTGAGACTGAGGAAGACCAGTGTGGAAAATGTTTCATTTACAGGGAGTATTGGTCTTGGTTCTTAATACTAGTATAGAAATTGGCTCAGGGTTTCAGGAACTTCGATTGCATTTCCTCCTCCTGGGTTTGTTTGATTGATTCTCCACTTTTAGATGTAGCTAATTGCAGCTCACTTTGTTCCAGGCGGTGTGGTTACAGCAAAGCAAAGCAGGACCCAGAAGAGGAAAAGATGCACTTTCATAATGGGCACAGTAAGCAACTCGTGCAAAATAAATCAGGAGACTAGACTCTATTATTATGATGATCTCTGCTCAGGAAAGATTTGTGATAACTGACCAAAACTATTATGTAAAAAATAAGCAGGTATTTCCTGTCTTTATATAAAGCTTATGCGCCTGGGCAACCATGAAATTGATTATTCAATTCTTTAAGGGATATTTTTCTTATAACCACTAAAATAAAAACATTTGACTACCATTAAATAGTATTTTATTTCAAATTAAAATCTCAAGTGATCTCCAAGTTCTGTGAACAGAACGAGTAGAAATCTGCCATTGAAGCAGCAATGAACTAACTGAGCTGCTTCTTTGTGTAGTACCGTAGTGGGAATTTCCCAGAAGACCCTCTGACAGCAGCCATAGTTCAAATGACCTCATAAGAACTATGTTTTTAACAAATGCATCAAATTCAGTTTTAATAATGAGCTTAAAATTTAACTTAATTAGCTTTACTTATGGTATATTACTATGTTCACTTTTCCATAAACAATACACAATGGGAGTTAATTTGCAAGATAAATTAAGACAGACTTATTTTGTTTTTGTCATTCTACCAAGACCAAAACATGCTTAAAAGCATTGAGTCTACTCTCTAGTTCTATTTTTCTATTAATATCTTTAAAATGTCAACTGGGCATGATACTGTTAGCTAAGACTCAGATTACATAAAATTCTGTGGTAATAAAGCTATGAAAAGTGGAACTATTTCACTTCTGACTTCACTTCAAGTTTGATCAAACTATCCCACTAAACAAATTATATTAAATGATGTTTAAAAATTCAAAGTTAGTTATCTATTGAGATTTCAGAATGACATCATCGATGAAAACAACACTTTTCCTTGCCTTCTTCAATAAACAATGTGTTCTCAATTTGCCTCTTAGTCCCATGCTCTGAATATTAGCTTTACCAGCATAAAAACATTTCTTTGTGGGGTAACATATATATTTAAATTAGTTGAAGAATTATTAGCAGCTGATTACTGCTGAGTATGGAAGAACTGATCTTAAAAGGGGGGACTCTAGATAGGCTGCCTTGACCATAGTGGATGAACTTTCACTGAGATGTCTGGGGACACTAACTTGACATGATAAAACTTAACACAGATGACAGAATGTATGAATTCCAGTTGGGTGCCAATGGGGAAGGGGGTATAAAGATGATTAAGTTTTATTATGAAATTCTGTATGTAATACAGAAAAATTCAATTAAAATTACAAAAAAATGTTAGATGACTGTATGTATAACTTACAGTTCAGTCACTTTTAGAAAGTAGATACTTCAGTCACATTAGTGAGCTAACCAAGTTGCTAACTATTTACAGGTATCACTACTTTTATTTAATGTCATTTATTTTTACAGTTAAACTGCCAGGAGTGAGAACCTACATTGATCCACACACTTATGAGGATCCCAATCAAGCTGTCCATGAATTTGCCAAGGAGATAGAAGCTTCCTGCATCACTATTGAGAGAGTTATTGGAGCAGGTAAAAGATGCCTAAACCCTGACAGTTTATGTTTGTTTGCACTGTAGAATGTAATACATCAATGTCCTGCTCTAACACACAATGATTTTAACTTTCGTAATTACCTTTCTTTCAAAGTGATATGTAATTGATCACCTTTTCAATGCAACCCTATGTGCATCTTATATTTAAATTAGTAAGATAATAAAATGTCAGCTTTATTTAGTAAGAAAAACGGCCACGAATATGCTTCAAAGTAGGCAATGTTTGTCATCTACTGTTTTATATACATATAGTGAATCTGTCCTACTGGAAATTATTTTCTTTGTTCAATTTAGCTCTTCCTTTGTCTGTACATAATTCAATTCGTCTCTGTCTTGTTTCCTTTTTCTCTTTCTCGCTAATTGTGGGTACTGTTAGAATACAGACGGAGGAAAGACTAACTGAATTTTACTCAATTTTTTTCTAAGGTTTACAGTTAGATGTTTTAAGTGATTTGGACTAAAAATGCTAAAATGTTTTATGGTCATCTGTAGATGATATTTCTCAGTCTATGCTTTATTTCTGCTAATATTAATGTGGAAGTTTGGAATCACTTTTATTTGTTTTTGAGAATTTCATATATGAGTACACTCTATTTACATCATTTCTACCTTCCCTTTCTACTCAAACTCTTCCTCTGCCCTCTAAACTCCTCTCAAATTCATGACCACTTCTGCAATTATTATTGTTACATATATGTGTGTGCATGTGTGTATATATCCATACACATTATTTTGGTTTAGGGATGATCACTTAAAACTGTATAACCCTATCAGGGCACTCATTCATCTCTCCAGAAAACTGTGTCACCTTCCTCAGCAACCCTTGATGATGATGATGATGATGATGATGATGATGATGATGATGATAATTTGGTCTGATAATGCTTCAAGGCTTACAGTTTTACTGGAATTTCACTAGAAAAAAAATCCAAATTGTTTATGCATTATTTTTCTATATTTATCACAAGGTGAATTTGGTGAAGTGTGTAGTGGACGTTTGAAACTACCAGGAAAAAGAGAATTACCTGTGGCTATCAAAACCCTTAAAGTAGGCTACACTGACAAGCAACGCAGAGATTTCTTAGGTGAAGCAAGCATCATGGGGCAGTTCGATCATCCCAACATCATCCATTTAGAAGGAGTTGTGACCAAAAGTAAGTAATTATTGTGCATGTGAGAACATACACCACGGATTATTGCTTTTAGATTAAAAAATAAATATCATAAAATATTTTATATTTGTCCTCTTTTTAGTAAGTTTTTAAAGTAAGCTGATCTGCAGTGAATGTGAATGTTTTTCAAAAAAAATTTATTAACCTCTTTATGGTTAATTCAGTGTCAGAAACGTTGTTTCCAGACAAAAGAAAACATGTCACAATATTTTTCTATTGTTTAAGCTTTTTGGTATTTATTTATTTATTTATTTATTATCTTTAGCTTAAAAGGTGCTTAGGGTTCTTGGGTAGAGCATAGGCCCTTATACAGTCTGAGCAAATACCACAACACTGAGCTACATACACACCCCTCTATTGGCATTTTAATGTCTTATAGTAAGGAAACGTTAACTTTAGAGTTTTATTGACTGATGCATTGGTGTTCTACATTTAACAGGATTCCATAACCACAGGTAACTTGCCATATTTTAAACAGTTTTATATAACAAGATGTGTATCTTTTATTGATTTTTCCATGAAGATATCATAATAATTCTTATCAACAACCTCAAAATTTCATTAGGTTTAATTTATTGTTTTTTGTTGCACGAAAGTTGGCTGTTATTCAGAAATAATAGCATTTTCTATATCCTTTCAATATGTATTACTCTCTTATAATTGTATTTGTTAGTACAATTCAAATCAATTTTCACTTCTCCAGTAAGAAATTTTTGAGGCTCTTCACTGAGATTTTTTTTCTTTCAGTTCACCCATTTTCTCCATTCTGTTGTATTCTGATTCTTCCTTTAGTCATTTAACATGAACACTTCTTTTTAAAAGCCAAACACTGACAGTAATCAGTCTCACAGCAGCTTTTCAAGCATTTGGTTAACTTCCAGGGTCTACTGATTGTTTTAAATTATATTTTTAAAATATGATCAAGCAATATATATTAATAATGTTCTAAAGATACTAAATTATTGAAATCAATTTGATATATATTTATAGTATTTGGCCTTTAAATACAAAAGGAAAAATAATAAAAGTTTTTCATGATAAAGTGTAAAGCTCAAAGCAAAAATAGTTTATATACTATATAATAATTCCCACTCTGTAATGCATTCATAATAAGACAATTATAAGGCAAAAATCACAGGACATGTACATGAATCATGGTTACAATCTTAGCATTTTGGGGACTGAGACAGGAATGAACTCACAAGTTCAAGACTAACCCCTGACTAGATAATAGGTCTCAGGTCAGCCTAGGTTTAAAGTAACTTTCTAGCTTAAAAAAAATTAATTAAGGAAATCTAAAATAAATATAAATAATACTAATCCCATAACAAGCTGTAGATAAAGATTACAACCCAAAGTGTCATGGGAATGATTAGAGTCCTTAACTACTTGTATTTTAGGGAGATGCATTTTTTCCTGTATCTGAAAAATAGGCTGCTTGTAGGCAGACTGCTGTAATAAGAAGACAGAATAACATGTGTGTACGTGAACTTCTTCAAAATTTCAATGTGTTTCTTCCTCTGTTAAGTACACATATATACATAACTCTTTCATGGCATCCCATCAAAGATATTAATGGAACAAAAAGGAAATTATGGGATCTTACTTGAAAAATGTAAATTCTTAAACAAATTTTGGAGGCAAGGACAGGAAAGGGGCAGGCAAGAGACAAAAAAATAAAATTGTTTAATGGAATAAAGAAAATAAAAATATTCAAAAACAATTATACCATCTGATAAAATCATGGGCATGTGCTTCTAAAATAAGAATATGATTGCATAATAAAATAAACTCAGAAGTTGACTGTGATTATATTTGAGGGAAACACATTGAAAGTAGTTCAGAGACAGCATGTGGTACTAGTTAATGTACAAATTAGAATTACATTTTAATGATCTGAGTCCAGTGGGCTACACATATAGTGTCTCTTACCCTACAGATTGAAGAAGAAGAATCTCTTGAGCCTAGTCTAGATCAGTTGAGATAATATACCTAGAATCTATGCCAAACAAGAATGAAAATAAAACAACAAGGAAATTATAAAAAGGGTTATAGAGTTTTATTCAGGGAGAGTATATAATATAAAATAATGTAATGTTATTCTTTTTTAAATTATTTACTGAATTTTTTGGTTTTCATACAATATAATATGATAGTATTTAGATCCTTTCCACCATCTGCATTCCCCCCCCACCTCCACTCAATTCAATATACTCCACTATATATACAGTACTGGATATACAGTCTGATTTGTGTTCCCACATTTCCATCAGTGTGGGTCCATCCACTGGAGCCCAGTAAACCTACCAAAGTCTCATCCCAGTAAGACACTGCCTCTACCCCCTCTCAACATCCATTAGTTGCCAAAAGTTCCTTCGGTTGAGTTGAGATTTCTTACCTACTTCCCCATGTCTATGCTGGGAGATTTTTGGCTTCAGCTCCTATGGATGTGCATGCTGTCACCATTCTGTCACCATTGTCGTGATCCATATACATAACTGACCAGCTGTCTGGAAGACTCTTGTGGTCATCCACCACCTCTGACTCTTACAATATTTCTTCCCCTTAATTTGCAATGATTCCTGAGCCTTAGAGGTAGAAGTTTGAAGTAGATGTCCTATTCTGGGAGGAGCACTCTGACTCCTCCTGTTCTCTGTGCATGGGCCAGTGGTAGGTTTCTATGTGAATCACCATCTGCTATATAAGGAAACCTCTCTGATGAGAGCTGAGAGATGCATTCATCTCATGTATAAAGGCTGCACTGAAGATGTATCACTTGGGGATAAGCTTCTCACAGTGCTTGATCGTTTGTGGAAGTCTATATTAGTCTTTATCAGTTGCAACAAGAAGCTTCATTGATGAAGGATGAGAGGCATACTTGTCTGTAAATATGTGTGTGCATATTTGCAATACAGTAAGAAATTATATTGGTCTAGGAATGTAGCAAAAGTATGTTTTTCTCTTAGATCTATGACCTTTCCAGCCATGTATATTTGTCTATGTCTACATAAGGTCCCTCCAGATGTTATTTTTAATAATTATGCAAGAAAGGATAGCAAATATTTGATTAATTGCAGGTCATCAAATCTATCATATTGTTGCCAGTTTTTTTCTGGTCAAAAATAAACTCACAATGATTTCCCTTTACCATTGGTAAATGTAATTCTCTACAGGTAGCTGACCTTCAATCTCCAATGAATTAGGATGTCATAGTCCACACAACCACATGAACACTACTGAGTTAAAAGCCATATGACAGGCCAGTCAAGAGTAAGGATTATGTATCTAAAGACATACTTTGAATTTAGGTTCTACCATAAATTAGTATGTGTTTTGAAACAACATAAATGTCAGTACTTTAGTTTCCTAATCACTGGGGTTGGCTGAAGCTACCTTATAACATCATTGTGAAGAGGGTGTAAATTAGTACAGGTAACATATAGAGAAGCTATGATGCAGAGTAAGTCTGGAATGAGTACATAGTGATACTCTTCAATTTCTCTCACTTCTTGTGCTCCATGAACACGTGATTTTTAATCCTACTGAATATATCTGTTTTGGCCTGGCTGTGTTGCTTCTTTCTTTGAAACGTACATCCTCATAACAAATGACATTTCAATTCCAGCAAACTCCTATTCAAATTTCACAAATTCTGTGATGTAATCACTTGTCACTTTGCCTTGAAGTCATCTCATGGTCTTTTCAGTGCTGTAGGATGTTTGCTATAATTAAAGGAAATCTCTTATTTAATGCAAAACTCTTATCCAAGGTTCCAGATGACTTTTTTTCTTTTACAGTTCTTTCTTGGCTTCCTAGCTTCAAAAAGCAGTTAATGTTCTAATTATTTAAATAAATCTATTTTAGCCAAATGTGGGCCAGTATATAGCCACCTTGTTTAAATACCATGAGCCTTCTTTTCATACAAGAGAAGGAAATAACAACTACCAAAAATGACACCTGAACAGATGAACAAAATGGCTTTTGGTGCATGTATGTGAATATGTATTATGAAAAATATATTGTTGAATAAGAATAGACTTTAACATAATGAAGTAAATAAATGTATCAAAAAGTAGTTACCAATAACCCAAGTTCTTTTTTGAGGTATATTCATTTATATTTATATATCCTAGATATATTACAGATTTTGCTTATGTGACTGTATATTGAGAAAGTAAATTGAGATAACTTCTTATAATAATATAAGAAAATTCCTCTATGTTTTGTATTTACTGGATATATTTATTAGAAGCTAATGCCCTTGTGAGAAATCTGTGAATTCAAGTCTAAAAAAATGGTATTGCAATTGGGAAGACAATGTTAAATTTAGAGTCTCCAAATCAAATATTCTACTTGATGCTGCTACCCAATGTAAAGCTTCACATAGAAGGAAAGCAAATGTAAAAGCTTGAAAAATGTCTTTTATTTAAACTTTGTAGTCTATGTGAATTCAAACTATATTACCCCTTTATAAATGCAGCACCTGATGTTCCACTTAGGAAGTTTTCAACATGTTTTTAATTTACCATGTTGTAACTTATTTTATTTGTGTCCTTAATTTCCTGCTCTCTGATCTGATGCTAATTTATTCAGCAGTTATTCTCAACCTTCAGCACACAGATAATGAGACATAAATGCAACTAAATCTTGTGATTTTGCTGATTGAAGCTAAGGTAGAGAATGTGAAGCAACACCCTAAGGATGGGTGTCACCGAGAGCCTTCTTCATCTACCACTATGTGACAAAACATGGGGCCCTATTGAGATTCCTTCTGCAATTTGTTTTAAGACTATGTTCACCTACATATTAATACACACACACTCACATACATATGTATAATATATATTCTAGAGGAATTTCATGGCAGATGACTTAAAAAAAAACACTGGTTGTGATTAACTGACCCTTGCAATGTAAGACATTTTGATATATATACACAGAAACAACTTTTACTGTTTGATGAGATACCAGAAAAAAATGAA